ACATCCTGGGAAGAGGGGCAAGCAGCGTGGGCTGGACAGGGCCGTACTGGAACCGCTGCGCAGCCCAGCACTCCCTCTGCCTTAGGAGGGGATCGCAGGGGCTTCGTGCACGGTGCAGGAGGACCTCCAAGAGCGGCGGAAGGTGAAACTGTGTTAGATGTAAATCACAGCACGTGCTTATTGCTGCCTCGCATCAGCCCACCAAGAACTACCTGCAGCCTCCCTCACGCTGCTGATTGACAGCGTCTGCCTGTTCTCTACACAACATCCAAAGCCTAAACTGACTAAAAGTGGCACAATACCACTACAGAGAATTTGGATGCAAGAAACCCAACCCTGCCACAGATTCAGCCTAACCATCAGACAAGCCAGGAGCATTCTCCTTGCCCAGCAAATCCACAGTTTGGCAACTGCGCAAAGCCGCATCCAGAGTATCCGAGTGGCTTACAAGCCTGCCTGGAAAACTGGAGCTCATATCACGCCACTCTCCCCTAGGGGTGGTAATTTCCTTCACTTCCGCAGGTTAAAAGCGTAAAAAGAAAAAGGAAAAGCTCCAAACCCATCTCTCATGTTATTCTCCAGCCTTGCCTAACCACTATAAGCCTGCAAAAGAAGAGGAAAGCAGCAGATCCCAACTGTGTTGGCAAGGCTGCCAGCAGTGCTGCAACACGGGAGAACCCAACTTGCTCTCAGGTTTCCTTGGCTGCCTCTCCCTGGCAGCCAGGGCCGAGTCCGGCCACCGGAGCAGCTTTAAGGGACAAGCAAGGCCGATGGGGCTGGAAACACTCCCACTGTGCCAAAAGGCTGAGTTGGACTTTGGAAGCAGCAGTTTCATCTCTTCACTCTCATTTCGAGGGTGTGGGACAGCTTCTTGGAGCAGCCTGATGCCCTAAAGGGATGGGCAAAGACTTGATATCTGCACCTTCATTATAATAAAGTGGGAACCACTCACAAAAGCCACCAGACCACCAATGGCAGGAAACTTAAGGCTTTTATCACTGCTGAGGGACAAAACGTCCTCCCTTAGGCAGGGGCAACACTGCCCCTGGGCCCAGGGCCAAGCTGGTTTCCCAAGACAAGAAGTTAGACCAGTCTAACCCAGCCCCTCCTATCCCAACTATTATCTCCCCCCTTAGCCAGGGCAGGGCCCAAACTGGCCAAAACCCCCCCGCTTTCAAGACCACTGCAGGGTTACCTTGTGCCCACCAGCGCTCAGCGTGCGAGAGGCAGGTCCCGCTGACCCCACCGAGGGACAACAGCCAAGAAACGACACTTCAGAGAGCTCAGTAAAAGCTCCGTGAATGAAGCAGGGGCATCTGGCCACGATGCAGCTTGGCACAATGCTTGTGTAGAGCGCAAGCGGGGTCAATAGCGACCAGAAGGTTTTCTCCAAGCTTCCCGAGGAGGTGAGAGATGGTGACCCATCCTCCAGACCCGAACAAGTGCCTGCTGGCAATGCCACATGGGCCTGGCCAGTCAAAACTACTTCATCAAACTTGCAAAAACTCAGGGAGATCCATGTTTTTCCAAGGCCCAAAAGTAGAATTTACATGAGCAAAGAATGGGGGGAAAAAAGTGCAAAACCCCAAGTTCCTTCTTACCAACTCCTAGTCCTGCGCAGCAGCGGGACCTACTCTCACCCCGTCTTTTCCCTTCTAACAGGGAAGTTCACAGGACTGCAGCAGAGCCTGGCTGTTAGAGGTGCTGTGCACCAGCAAAGCCAGCTCTCCCCCAAGCAGCTTACAGCTCTAAAGCCCTGATCCTTGTGCTCCCGCACTCCTGTGAGCGATCACGCTGAACCGGAGGACAGACCTTGATTTCAAAGCCTGTTCATGGCTGGGGTCTGCTCAGGATACTCCTGCTCCGTACGACCGGGCTCTGGTCTCGCAACTGCACTGGGACAAGTGCTGTGGATGGAAACGCCAACCTGGCTTTAATTAAGGATCGTATAAAAATGTCGCGGCATCGCAGGTCGACAGCAAAGGTAAGTGGGCTTGTGTGCTGCTGCCGGGAGCAGGCAGGCTGTAAATCCTGCAGGAGCAGGACATCTGAAAGATTTGTCCAGCACAACTTAACCCCGGCTCAGGAGGGTCTTCCACACATCCCTGCAAGGCAAGGAAAGAGAGAAACATGCAGCTGCATTTTAGGATATTGCACAACTCTCTCCATGAACAGCAACAGTTGAGTGGCCAACCGCATAACTAACCTTTGCAAAGAGCAACCCGACCCTCCCGCGGGCAGGGAGTGAAGCAGATTTTCGCTACCAACTGAGGCTGTTGAACTCCTTTGCTGTGACTCCAAGCGTTTCTCCATAGCTGTTTCAAGCCCACATTACCCCACCACCACCTATTGCACTTCAACAGCATTATTAGCCAGGCCCTGAACTTTAATCAGCTGGAACAAGGCCAGGAGCAACAGAGTAAGTTTTGAGGAAAAAAAAAAAAAAAAAAAAAACTCAAAGGTCAACTTTTCACCAGGTAAAGTGCAGAATTAAGAGCCACATTTTACTCCAGCCAACCGGCCATGCCATTACCACAAGCCGCAGCAGCCGCTGCCCCCAAGGCGCCCGGCACCT